GACACGCTGCCCCCTCCGGCGGGGTTCCGGAGAAAAGCGTCCCGCGAATGTGTACACAGGCCAGGCACGGTGCTCGGCACCGGGAAATCAGAGACTGTAATAGGTTTTAAAAAGCCCCTGCCCTCGGGAGACTTGCGTTCTGGTGGAGAAGCCACACAATAGATATGGAAGCAGATAAATGAGCATTTTAGAAAAGACCAGTTCTATGGAGACAATACTGCGGGATGACGGGGCGCAGTGGCCCGCATTAGATGGATTTCTAACACATCTCCAGGATAGGTATTTGGAGCTGAGATCTGAACTATGAAAATATGAAACCAGAGAAGAAAGGTTTGAGGTCTCAGAGGCCCAATGAAGCAACAGGAACGAAGGGTTTACGTATGCTGTCCCATACGGTTGGCTGCTGATGAGTTGCAATGTGGTAAGTCCCGAATAAGGCATGCAAGAAATGTGGAATACACCTGGATTCCAAGGCTTGGTAGGGAAATAAGGATGAAAAATCTCTCGACTTTTTTTCTATTAAACGCAGGTTGAAATGATAGTATTTTGGATATATTGGGATAAATAAAATATATTATTTAAAAATTAATCTCACCTTTTAGTTTTAAAATGAAGGTAGTAGAAAACATAAGGGTACAAATGTGGCTTGCAGTTATATTTCTGTGGGCTGTACTGGTCTACACAGAGACCACATATCTACTGGCCACCTTTATCTTTTCTCTCTACTTCTTACCCCATGCCCCCATCAAGCCCTGGGTGGGGGGAACAGAAAGGATGATTTCCCTTAGGGGAAAAACTCCTACGGGGAAATCTACCGTACTGACGGGAGTTACTAAAACTGATATGTGAACTCTCTGAGATTCCAGATCCATATCATTGTTCAAATTCCCAGATTTTCTAAAACAAGATGGTTTAAACTCTCTTTAGTTTAACAGAAATTTTAGACTGCAGAGATTTTGGCCTCTAGAAAAAAAAAGAAAAAAGCCCCTCAGATCTTATGTCAGACGCTCCTCTTAAAGACCATTTCATTCAATGGACCACAGGGAAGCCACGGATTCCTGATGATAGAATCAAGGGAAGACTCCACATGGGGAGGCAGTATTCACCTGAGAGGCAGGGTTGAGCATTAACACAAAAGGATCTTGAGAAGCGAGAAATATAGTCAAAAATAACAACAAAAATTGTGATTCATCTGGGGGAAATGAAAATGAAAACATCTGTTGGTGGGGGAATTATAAACACAGATACTTGGAAACTTGGAAGGTGCTTATGGATGACTGCTTGAAGACTAATATGTACAAAGCTAATACGGTTCTTGCAAAATAAACGTGTGTTTTCCAAGGCCACGAGAGGGCTCCATCTGGGGACTAACACGTCTTACCTACCCTATTCGACATGCTGATCACAGGAGATTTTCTGAAATAACGAAAAAGAGAACGAGCTTGGGAGTCACAAAATTGGATCTAATCTTGGTTGAACCATGCAACCGTAGCTGTGAATGACGCTGGCTGTGTCCCTTACCCCTAAATTTCACATCTGCACTAAGTTAGGCAAACATTTTATCTTGAGGGGAAGGCGGTGAGGTAGGTTGGCTTATTTATTTATTTTTATTGGAGGTACAGGGGACTGAACTCATAACCTTGTGCATGCTAAGCATGCACTCTACCACTGAGCTATACCGTTCCCCACCCAGGCAAGCATTTTAGAAAGGGAAATGGGCTCCAAAATTTAATAAAGAACCAGAGTCTAATTCTCCTCCCCATGAATGTAAGTTGGCCCTAGTGGCTTGATTCTAAGACAATGTGGTAGAAGGGACATGGTGTGATGTCCTTCTAAAGCTACGTCATAAGGTGTTAGACCTTCTGCCTGACACTCTCTCTCGCTCTCTCTTGCTCTCTCTTGCTCTCTTGTTCCTGCTCTCTCCACTCACTCTGGAAGCCTTCAGCTGCCATGGTTACCCTGGGGCTGCCATGTGGAGAGACCATGTGGAGAGACCACAGAAAGAGAGAAACCGGAGGAAGCCAGCTGTTCCCGCCCCATCCCCAACCCCCATCTATTTGTGTCTTCACAGCCCAAGTTCTGCGAGCGAATAAATGATTGTTACTGTTCTAAGTCATTATTTGGGGGTGGTTTATTACGAGGCAATAGATAACTTATAAGAAAACTGAACTCTTAACATGTACCAGATGCCAGGCAGACTAAACCATTCTCTTGCTTAATCTTCATACAACACTGTAAATTAATTGGGGTTTTTTTTCCACTTTATTCTTGCTTAACCTTCTTAGTCTCAGTTTTATCACCTACAAAAGGGAGACACTAACTGATCCTTACATAGTCCTTAGAGTTGCTAGGAGAGTCTAAAGAGATAACGCATCGCATCAGAATGTTGGGGTCATATTTTCTATAATGTTCCGAGCAAGGAGAGCTCTGAGGGATATCTCTTAAATGGAAGACAACAATACTATAGTCCTGAAATTAGGAGACTCAAGCTGGAAAGGACTTCCGTGAAAATAACCTGATTATGACATGGACTGTGGACTATGATAATCACGGTGATAACAATTAAGACAGACTCAGGTGGAGAATTGAGGACATTATTTTATATCTGCGTTAGTCAGAGTTAAATAACTGCTGCTATGAAACTCAGTAGATCTCCAAGGTTTATCTCATTAAAGCTTTAGTTCTTGCTCTCAGCACAGATGTTTGCAGGGACTAGAGAAACAGCTCCACTCCACGTAGTCATTTATGGACCTGGGCTTCTGCCCTCTCTAATGGATCCATGGTTCCTCCATGCATTTGAATTTTTCAGTTCATCCTCCTCATCTATTGGCTGATGAGAAAAGAGAGAATCCAGAAAAGACTGCACTGGAGATATTTTTAGAGGGTCAGGTTTGAAGTCTGAGGCTTAACCATTTCTTGCGCAAGATGTTCTAAGAGCAACCAAAGTGGGACACACTCGCTCAGTTCACCTTTGGATTCCTTTTTAACAACATGCCTTTGGCTTTTATCAATGGCTCATATTTTTAAATGGCCCCATGAAGAACGTTTCTGCACCTGTGGTTTCTCTGTTGACGATACGGACCATTACGCAGCTGAGTGCCTCATATACAGGCAGGCACGTGATGGATTCCAGTTCCTCTCAGCATTGAGCACTAAGAGAACTCATCTCTCCCGACCAAATGATGTTTCTCTTTTTGTCAGACAATGAAAATTATAGAGCTCACTCTATGCTCCATTTTCCCCTGGATTCCAGAAAGCACGTGGCAAGATCAGAAAGATAATCCTCCAAGTGATGTCCAATTTGCCATATTCTCTGAATCAATCAATAAGCATTTATTGTCTAATCTATATTAGGATGTTTATTGTCTAGTCTATACTAAGGATGCAAAGATAAATAAAACATCCTCTGTCCTCAAGTAACTCAGTCCAATGGGGGAGACCAAAGACTAAGTTCCATTCAAGTGTGATGATGCTAGACAGAATCCGTGTATTTCTCTAGATGTACGTGCTACCTCTCTCCACCCTTACAGGTCGACAGGCTCAGCTGTAAGATTATTTTAACGTGCTTCCCTGTCCTCTGGCTGCAGCTTGATTTGGCCAACAGGGAACCTGGCATGAGGTCGAGGAGAAGGATGAGAATGAGCTCAGGGTTAGTTACTGTCTTGCTTTTCTCACTGCAAGTTTGCCTCAGTCTCTAGCAAACAAAGGTCACTGCTCCTCACCAGGTAAACTCTTCTCTGTGACTTTCTCTGTCCAGGTGTTGGTAACCACTCTCTCTCTTAGCCTCTCTGGTTCTAGAGTTGGTGGCAGCTCCGTGTTACTAACCTGGGGTTCCTGCCCCATCCTTGTGATTCCTTTGCACTTCTCCCACACCTCCATGACTCACCCTCATTTGACTGTGCTATCATCTTCCCTCTGCAACCCTGACAGCCTGCTGTGGGAACGCGAAAGGAGGGCGCTTAATTCAGATAAAGGCCAGGGATGGAGGGTGATGACAGGGGTGAGGCTGGGGTTTCAGGGAAGTTTCCTAGGGGAGTTGACATCCTACTAAAACATATGAAAGAAGATTAAGAGTTAGCAAAATAAAATAGTGTGCAATGGGCTGGTGGA